AAATGCCATTCAATAGTGTGTATCTGAAGTATTCAAGGAGAAGGCTAGGGATTCTCAACCAAACCAAAATATGATAGATTCAAAGGCCTGGACCTTGTCTTAATGCCCCTAAGAAATGACTCTGAATATTTTAAAATTATTTCCCACCCGCCCTTTGCTTTGCTTTTCTAAAGAGTCTTATGCCTGAAACACTCCCATTAATTAGGAAGAAAAATCTTTCATTGTCCATTCCTCTACAATTGCAGTGAATTCCACACTCCTTAAAATCTCTGGGTCTAGCTGCTCAGAACATATTCATAGTGAAAACAAAGCAAAGTGGCCTCAGGACACCGGGGAGTGCAATCCACTTCTGCAATACAGAAAAAGGAGCCCAAAGGGGCAAAGGGAAAAAACAATTTGCAGAAGGCACAGTTTTGGCAGCATCTTATTACAACTTCTAGCTGACCGGGTGTAGCCAAATTAGAGACATCTGTTTGGAATTTACAACAGAAACAAACACACAGAAAGCATGAGAGCCCTAAAACACACACACACACCCCCCGAGCTCTAACAGCTCTTCTCTGCCTTGACCTCCTCACACCACTCCCCCACTAGGTCATGCAGAGTTGTAGAAGGGTCTTCCACCTGCCTCCCCACCCACTCCACCTTCATCTCTACTCACTCATGCCATCACTGGAACTTCCTTTCTCTATCGTTGATTTTCCTCCCAGAAAAAAACAAAGATGACCCCACTCCTCAGAGAGCCCTATGGAGCCTTTCTTTAGGTCTCTAGCTCACCTTTAAAGCTCCCTGAGCTGTCTGTAAAGGAAAAGATATCATATTCTCACACTTGATCATTACCATGAACCACAGGAGGAGGTGGTAAAACCTCACAAGGTGTCGAAAGTCACTCCTCCCTAAATAACTTCGCAGGTCTGAATATGAGGAACAGAACTCACCCTGCATCTCCAAGAATTAACTCAGAGCGCAGAGAAAGCTCACGCTCCCAGAAGTTAATGAATATGGGATATACTTGAGAAGGCTGTCCCCAGCTACAGTACCCAGAGTGGCAAAGGGCCAGAGAGGCCCCAGACCTTGTATAAAGAGGGTTTCCCTCCCCCAGTCACCTTCAAGCAAGGCAAAGACTAAACCCTTTTTAACCAAAGCATCCCCGATGGACACACCCTCTCCCACCCCCACCACGCAGCATTCTCAGCAGCAGTTCCAGACGCTCACCTGTTCAATTTTCCTCTTTATTCTCTCCCTGCTGATGGGCAAACAGAACCAGAGCAGTGCTACTCTTCAAAAATAACAAAATGTTTTATACGCATTTCTATATATACAACTGAACAACATTTTACATGTCCCTTTTGCACAGCAAAAGATATAAACATCCAGCTCTGAGAACAGTTATGTACAAAAAAAGATGTCAAAAATACTTCACAACAGTGCAAAAATATTTTACACAGTATCATGGAGTGAGATCTTTTGAGCAGGATGAAGGTGTGTTTCTAAAGGAAAACTCCTCTTTTAGATACTAGATGTCTTGAACTGTAAACAAAATGCAACTTTCTTTCATTTCCCTTCCCCCGTCCAAACAATTATTTGAGGAATTTGGCAGAATTTCAAGGGTCTTAGTCTGAGGTAAACAACCCAAGCTCTTGCACCAAAAGACTGGGGGCAAAGAGGCGGCACAAAAAAAGCCTCAAACATTGTGAGAGTAAATTCCTTTTTCTTTTAAAAGACATGCCAATGACAATGCTAGGCTGCTCCCAGTTGGAGGGGTGGGGAGGAAGTTAACCCCTCCTTCTGAGGCCCCAGCTGCCCCACAAACAGGAAACTGGCCGCAGGCACCTGACGCCTGCGGGGCTTTGCTAACTTCGGCGGGCATTTCCCTCACCCCTGACCCCAAGGGGCTGCCTCTCTCCTTCCCCGTAGGGTTTCCCCACCCCACCCCCCACACACGCCGCCACATCTCCACAGGCAACCTCAGCTCCACCTAAAACAGAGCCAAATGTGTTGAGGGAGAGGGGCAGAGGGAACTCTGGGCCTTCAGAGTCCCCTTTCCCTTCCCTGGGCGCGAGCGGGGGTCAGGTTAGGTAAGGAAGCTGTGGAGAAGGCTGGTGGGGAGTCGCGGTGGGGTGCCGGGGCGCCGGGGCGCGCGCAGCAAGCTGCCGGGAGCTCAGCCCGAGCGCGGCTCGTCTGGGCTGGCACGGTCCGTAGAGCCAGACTGGTCCCCAGCGGTGGCAGAAGTGGGGTCTGGGCCCCCGCCTTCTATGGAGCTCTCGCTGCCGGTGCTCTCACCAGACAGCAGGCGCGTCACCCGCAAGTCGGCCTGCAGGCTTCGCACGTCGTTGCCGAAGCTGAGCTCGCCCAGGTCGTTGATAAGCTGGGACAGCTCAGCCTTCACGTCGGAGGAGCTGCCCAGCAGCAAAGGCGGCGGCCCAACCCCGGGGCCCAGCGAGACCCCGCTGCCCCCCAGCGCCTCCTCCCCGCCACTCTCCAACGTGTCCAGCAAGTCTCCACATTCGAAGTGCATGGCCACCACCAGGGCCCGCTGAGCCTCGGCCTCTTCCTCTGCCGGGTCCCCCGCCCTGGTGTGGTCCTCCTCCTCCGCCTCTTCCTCCAGGCAGCCCTCGGTGTGCTCCTCTTCCTCTTCTTCCTGCAGCTCCTGCTCCTGCTGTTCACCTACGAGGTCCTCGGTGATGGAGCCCAGCTTGGGGGCGCTGCGGCTGCGCTCCACCGGCGGCTTGTAGCAGCAAGGTCCGTGCAGCAGCAGTTTGCGCAGCGGCACCAGCGGGATGGTGTGCGCGCCCACCAGCTCCTGCTGCTGGTGACGCGCGTCGTCCCGCCGCTTGAGCCGTTTAAACTCCGCCAGTGCGTTGGCCGACGTTTGGTAGAGCAGCAGGGCCATGGCCTGCGCCTTCTCGGGCTTGGACACCAGCACGGCGTGACAGCGCAGCATTACCGCCTTGTGTTTGAGCTCGTGCCGGTACACCCAGGCGAAGACCTTGGGCAGCCGCGAGTCCGCCACGCAGTAGGTAACGCGGTGCAGCAGGTAGAGGTGGCCCGGGCGGCGCAACGCGCGCTCTTCGGCGTGTACCATGCGGATACCCTGCGCGCTCACAGTCAGCTTCATCTTGGTGCCCTGACGGCCCGCCTCGCTCTTGCTCCAGATCTTGCCCACCGCTAGGTCCGTGCAGCCGTCGCCGCGCGCCTGGATCGTGGTGGCATTGCCCAGGTAGAGCACGGTGTAAGTGGGGTCCTCGCTGGTGATGTGCAGCTTCTTGCGCTTGGAGCGGAACATGCTGCCCACCCGGCTGAGCGCGCCTTCGGGGCACGCCCGTGCCAGCGAGCTGAGCGCCGAGTAGTGCAGGCTCACCGCGTAGCCCTTGGGCTTGGATGCCTGCCTCGGCGGCGCCTCGGCCAGCAGCTCGAACTTGTGCTTCTTCCACGGCAGCATCTCCGGAGGGCGCCCCCGCGCAGCTGGGCGGCGGCGGCGGAGAGCCGAGTGCGAGCCCCGCTGAGCCACCCGCCTAGGCCAGGCTCGGCCCGGGCAAGACCGAAAAATAACTCTGCTGGGAGTGGCCCAGTGACAGCGAGTGGGAGCGGGAGCGGGAGCGGGAGGGGGGCGTAGTGCTCAGGCACCCTGCAGCGGTTAGGAGTAGAATTTTTTTTTTTAAGGGAAGAAATTATTCAGTTGCGAATGTGGAAAAAAAGCGCACACAGGATTTACCCCAGCCTGGGCAAAAACGGAGGCAAAGACTCTTAGGCAAGCAAAAAGAGAAAAAGACTGAACGACAGTGAAGCGAAAAATATCTTTTAAAAAAGAGATGCGCGCCTGCAAATAAATAGAGGGACCCCAAGCAAAAGCAGCCGAGATGGTGCGAGAATGCAGCAGGAACTTCTCGGCGAATGCGAAAGGGCCCCCCTCTTAGACACACACGATCCCCAGGGCAGGGGCCAGAAACCTCGGCAACTCAAGAGCGAGCGAGCCCAGGGGCCAGCGCTCCCCACCCCCACGGGCTGCTGGCGGCGGACGCG